CGCTCCTTAACATCATCCTGCCGAATGCTGGGTCCATTCTGACCCGAACCTAAATCTTTCCCACGTTTGGGGATATAAATTGCAATTCAATGTTGTCTTTTATATATCGATGTAAGAGAGCTAACAGTAATTATTCGTAACTACTTGTAACAATACTATCAGTAAACAGTTAACTGTGGAATTTAGTTGGAAAAACCTCTGCGCGCAATAAAATCGAAAAATGTAGCGTATACTTGTCGAACGCAGGACGAATGCGAGTGGAGTATATTTTAACCGTTTGCACTCCAAAAATTTGTCACTGGAAATATTCAATTTACTTTTATGAAATATAGATGACATTTTTTAAAACTTAACGAGGAATCGTTAAATTTCACGTATCGACAGATTACTCGAGACTTAATGTTAAATACGAAATTTTACAATTTCGATGCACCAATCGAGTGACTGAGAGGCACCTTCCGAGTGCAAAAGGTTTACCCTTTGAACTCTGTGGGCTCCAATATTGCACCGGTTATAATATTAAATATTTTAATGAATCTTGAAGAAACTACCCTAAAATTATTCGATTTTCCACACATCCAAATTTTGCACTGAGAAGGAAAATAGATCGAAGAAATGTTATAGCATATCTCATTTCCACTAGGAATAAAAATTAGTTGCAGTTGCTGATAGGATACAAAACAACCTAGAGTGCTAAGGCTTAAGGATTAATTAATATATTTATTATTTTCTAATTAACCCTTTGAACTCTGTAGGCTTCAATATTGCACCAGTTATAATATTAAATATTTCAATGAATCTTAAAGAAACTACTCTAAAATTATTCGATTTTCCACACATGCAAATTTTGTATTAACATGGAAAATAGATCGAAGAAATGTTATAGCATTCCTCATTTTCGCTAGGAATAAAAATTAGTCGCAGTTACCGATAGATTAGAAAACAACGTGGAGTGCAAAGGGTTAAGGAATATCTCTCAGCCGAGGGTTCGGATCGAAATAACTGGGGATGGATACAGAATATCCTTATGAATCTTCGAAATGATATTTACTTGAAATTGAATCGGAGATATACGCGCTGCATCAATCTTCCCGGGCGCTGCGTCAAACGTACACGGATTGTTAAAAGCGTGTAGAATAAAAAAGAAAACTAGGTTATCCGTCGGTTATGCTGGTATATTTGCGCAGGACTCGATCCTCAAATAAACCCGAGGATTTAGCTGTACATTTCCGCCGATAGAAGCCGTAGGAATGCCTCGGACAACTCGCGGAGCAGATGCAACATTCCGCGTGACGAGGGAATGCGAGATGGGATACACGTATTCGCGGAGGCGCGGCGGAAAACGTTCGGTTCGGTCCTTTAAGGATTCCTCGGAGCGCGAGAAACGGATCCTTTATCGGCGAGACGCAACGGGGAAACTTGTTATCGGTGCCGGCGCCGTAAGAAAGAATTCTCGGCGTGTCCCTCTTAAATAAAGAAATCATCGCCCTCCGAACGCAGTTACAGCAAGTCGGATAATCCACTTTTCCAATTTCTTGGGTAATAAACCCGGTCGGATTTCCGCGGGAGAATAGTTGCCGGTTATTGCGAAAACGTGGAGGAGCGGATGGTACGGGGGATATACAGGGTGGCGGAATTCGCGCAGACAAATCTTGAACGCGTCGAAGATGGAGTAAGTTTGGAGAATAAGTTTGAGACGGGACATTAACATTTGATATAGACGTTTCAATTGCGTCAAAATAATGGTTCGAAATGTATACGAAATTAAAAATCTATATAACTAAGGAATTATTGCATTCATAAAATGTATCTTTTCTTTCTTTTGTGATATAATGAGTTAACCATTTACTCGAAAGTTCACTAGAAACATTCACTATTCTCCGAAGATGTACAGACGATATTCTTTGAAACTAATTAATAAGGAAACATATATAAATTAAGAAGGATAGTTATTTTATTCGAATATTCCATCCATATACAAAGCTTAATATTATATAAGAATTTATAATGTTGCAAATCAAATCAAGAGGTGACTGAGGGTCACCTCTCGAGTGAAAAGGGTTAAGCTATGATTATTTGAAAAATCGTCTATATTATAAATAATGCTAGCTAATGCAGTGGCATTCGACAAGATAAACCTGCAATAATAATAACGTAATTCAATTGTACAAGTTGATGCTACACTATTATAAACGAGAGAAAAATGTAGGATTGCAAGTAGTACGAACGTACCTCTAATCAGACAAACAATATAAACCACATTCCATTTAACCGCAGTCGAACAACGATTTCCAAAGAGCCAAAGCACTACTCGCCAGAAGTGCAGCTCGCGGCAAGTGGTACAAGCCCGTAAATCGTCAGACAAGTGGTATATACGGGAACGCCGTAAAATCCGTGCGTTTAATATTTGTTCGCATAAAGTTTCATTTCCGATCGAGCCGGCGATGAGAATTTACCTCGCGAACGCCTGTTTCATGCTAACAAAAAGTGGAAACGATAAATACTGGTCAGTCGGGGGCTGGTTCGGGTCACGAAAATGTTTTCGCCGGTCGAGTCACCCTTCCGCAGCCTGTCCTTTGGTTACCTGACACCCTGTACAAGCGACGGCAAAGAAAACCGTCCGGCGAGGGGGTGGGAAGATTGAAACTAACGGCCGGTAAACGAAATCAAGCGATCCCTGGCCCGGTCGAGGGTGGGAAAGAAAAAATGAAATCAGGTTGCCGAAGGGCGGGGCTCGCGGTAATTAATTCCGTCGTGAACGCAAACGTCTCGTAATCGTCGGTATTACGTGGGTCACGGGGAACGACGCGACGCGACGGTGGACATTTTATTGTCTCATTTACATCGGAGCCCGCGACGGCGTAACGAGTGCTCCGTCCCTGCAACCTGCCATTTGAATTGCTAAACGACCAATCGTCGCCAAACACCTGCCACTCCGCGCGAGGGTAGCTTTCCCCCGTAATTCCTTCGGCCGACATAGATATCCGGCTGCGAAAGCTCCGCGACGCGAGCTTTCCAGCGACCGGACTGTCCACCGGCGAAAAATTCGTTTAAACGTCCTCTGGTAACGAGGCGATAGGATTCCGATCGGAGAACGGAGTTTCGCGTTGAAGGATTTTTGTCGGGTTGAAGCGGTGATTAAGAGGGAATATTGTTGTAATTGTTGGTATTGTTGTTGTAGATGTCGGAAGATGATAGTTGGTAGTGATTATAGGATTGTTTGGGAATAAGTGTATTATTTTTGCGGAGGAAGTTGAGGAGAAGGGGCATTATTTTTTGAGTTTTTAAACTGTGGATATTTGAATTTTGTACGTGTAATAGTTTTATTCTATTCTTTTCTAATGATGAACTACTTTCGAGGTAATGAGATGATTGGATCGAAAGAAGTTGGAGTTTTTCAGCTGTAAATGTAATACAATAGTTTTATCGTATTCTTTTCTAATGCTGAACTATTTTCGAAGCGATTGAATTTTGTAAATATAATAGTTTTATTCTATTCTTTCCTAATGATGAACTATTTTCGAGGTAATGAGCTGATTGGATCAAAAGAAGTTGGAGTTTTTCAGCTGTAGATATTTGAATGTTTTAAAATATAACGCAATAGTATTATCCTATTCTTTTCTAATGTTAAACTATTTTCGAGGTAATAAGAAGATGATTGGATCGAAAGAAGCTGTCAGAGACTCTAGCTGCGTTAGAGAAAGGAGACGGTCGAGTTCATCAGTGATCGTGCCACGGTTACGCAATCTGTGTCACGGAGTTCGTGGGAAAGCGAAAGTTTCACGGTGTCCCCGCGAAATTACAGATAAACGTTCGCAGGTCTAACCACGCGGTTCAACGGTGATACCTATGAAACGAAAGAATTTTATTAATTCAGCCGGCGAATCGATCTCGGCCGAACTTTCGTCTAGTTGCTCCACTTTCTTCGCAAGTGATATAGGTATCCTCATAGCCAGACGGCAAGATTAATTTCTTTACCAGCACGTGCGGGATTGTTTGCCGTTATTGATCCGACAACAGCCCGGGAATGTAAAGGTTACATAAGCACCGTCGGCTCCTACCGAAATTAGGCCAGCTTTTAATTGTTGCAACCGCGAATTAGAACGGATTTCTTTGTCCCTTATGCTCCATTGTGCCGTTGTGAAAACATTCGGCGATGAATTACGGCTGGTAGTAATATTCGGATGCACGAAAATCCGAAAATTGGGGCGAATGACAATGACACGTCATGTACGGTGGTACCTCGATCAACGCTCACGATACATTCGTAGGAAACAACGAGTTAACACGTTGAATACCTTACGATTTCTTAGAGAAAAATATTGTACATGAAATGGAAAAAATCAAGTATCGAATCATTCGATCGAATTGCATTATTATTGCACTTTGAGCTAGCTGAATGTCACCACGTTAGGTAGCATTATTTAGAATATAGAAATGTTTTTAAATAATCATCACTTGATTGAATGATCTACAGTAATTCGATTTGGTTGAAGGTCACCGATGACCCATGACATTCAACGTGTTAGATTCAAATTTAAATCTTTCCCCCGACCGTCATTTCACATTATAAACCAAGGGATCACCAGAACGTCATTCGTTTCCATTTCATAGAAAAAAATATTTGAAATGGAAAAAATGCAATATCGAATCATTCGATTGAATTGCATTATTATTGCACTTTAAGGTAGCATTATTTGTAATATAGGAATGTTTTCAAATAATCATCGTTTAATTGAGTGAACTATAATAATTCGCTTTGATTAGGGTCACCGGTGACCCCACGGCATTCGACGTGTTGAACGAAACAGCGTTAACTGATGTCATATGTCAAATAATTGCAATTCACTTTAATTTGTCATTTCATATTCAATCACCAGTTTTCGCTAACTAGTACTGTGTTACATCGTATCAGCGTTAATTGAGGTAGCTCTGAATTCGCTGTAAATGGGTATGCATACACCGAGTAATTATTTTAGATTGTTCATTAACGCACTAACCTGTGACCGTGAGAGTTTGTGCCTGGTGCGGTTCTGATGCGTGCTCTCGATGGACGCCGCGCTGGGCACCAAAAAACGCGGATTACTTTCTACGTTTTGGGGGTGGTGCTGTAACTGTTGCGGCTGGTAATGGTGGTGAAGCTGATGGGGTTGCTGTTGCGGGGGACCACTCCCCAGATGGTGCTCCCCCGTGTCCAGCATGCTGCTGCCTAGAGCGTCCAGCTGGGTCAACGACCTCGAACGCACCTGCAACAAAAGCAACATCACGTGAGTCCAAGCTATCGCAAAGAACTTAGATTATAACTAACAATTGTAGTTACACTCGATTTGCAGCAAAATTAGAAAATTTCAGTCACCACTTGATTTGATACAGCGAAACTATAGAATTGAATATTTAGTATTTTAAATGAAACTTTGTATTGCTATAGGAAATATTTGAATAAAATTACTTGGTCGTTTAATTTATCTGTGAATGATCGTTAAATTAGTTTCGAACAGTGTCGTCTGTATCTTGTCGAAAAATGTTGAATATTTCCAGTGAAAAACTTTCGAGTGCAAAGGGTTAAGAAGAGTGAATGTAAGAATGAGTGTGAGCGAAGGACAGGTGAAACGGTCGAGGGAAAGTGGCCCGCGCAACGTCGCGGACCCAAGATTACAGGGCCAGCTTACCAGGGGTGCTTCCGAGTGTTTGTGATGAGTGCGAGTGAGAATACTTGTGGGGGAGATGATGATTTTTGGGAGAGAATGCCTGTAAGAGAGTTGCGGGGAGAGAGTCGTGTGTTGTCCTCCGTGGCATTGAGTTGTTTTTACGCGTTGTCCGTGTTGTTTCCATATTTTATATTTTGACCATAGTTTTAGCTTTATTTTATTAACACTAGAACTACCGAGCATTTAATACGATTAATATGCAATTCCTATAGAAACTGTAACAATAGATTATTTTCAGTTTCTTCAGACATTCATTATAGTACTCAAATGAAACTATTTATTTTCAAAATCATTCCGAATATTCAATGCTTCGAGGATATCAGTAATTGCTAAACAAAAAAAGTCGAAACCAGTCATTTTGACTGGTATGGTATTTCTAGTGTGAAATACATATATTTATTCCTAGTTCTCGATTACTCAAGACCCACCTTTTCATTATTTATACTATAGTAACACTATACTATTGTAACATTTTTTTAGTTTTAGTTCTTCTTAACCCTAATCGTACCACGTGTTTTTATCACGAATCATACCACGTGACTCGCAGTCACTTATGAGAATAAAAGGAATGATTAAATTATTATTGTTCTTGTTTATAGAGCCCAAATTTACAAAGCCCCAAGAAACTTGTGGAAATGCAGTATGAAATAATCAAAGAATTTAAGTGAAAAGTTCAAATGTCACTCAAAGTCACATCGCTGTCTGATTAGGGTTAACACCTGTCACTGTGGCTAAAGTCTAAAGGACAGGGTATTCTTGGCCTCGGTGACCTCTGACCCGAGTCATAGAAACGGGAACAATAGATAGGAAACGCTGAAGAATAAAGTTCAGCGAATGTACAACACCAAATGTAATAATTCGCTAGCATCTGATACGTCCCCCGAGGTCTGACATATCTCATCGAGCTACAGTGGAATATGCTACATATATTCAGACACAGGTCAAGTGGAATGTAACAATGAGTTGTCAGGCGAGCGAAGGAGATCCTTATCCAGTTAGAGGAGTACACTACACGGTAACGTAGTTCGCCAAGTAGAATAAGTCCACGCATAGCCTGGCTAGTGAAAGGGTCAATAGTACGGTGGACAGGAAGAAGTTCTAAACCGTGACACGTGCTATGTCGTCTATATCAAGATCATAGATCAATATACGAACAGACAAACCGACTTCTAATAATATATTCATAATTATAAGAAAATTCAATGAGTGGTTATAGAAAATAAAATACTATATTGCAATATCTTTAATGAAGTATAAGTCAATCATTGAACAAGTGAAAATATCAACTGGACAGTGAGATAAGACAGAACTTCTAGAATACACTTGCATTAATGATCCTGAAAATAAAACAACAATGCAGAGTTACATCAGCTCGAAAGTAGAATAAGTGAACGTATAGTCAAGCAAGAGGAATTCTAACGAGAAACTTATAATTAAACCACAACCAAATGCTAGGTATTCACAGAAAACACGGTATAACAGGCTCGTCGAAGTAGAACAAGTCCACGCATAGTCAGGCAACAAGACAAGGTCGTTGCAACGTCGGCACAGAACGAAGCTCCTCCGATAGCAGGTTAACTGGAACCATTACTCGTCGAGCTAGACAGCGGCAGCCTGTTATTGTACCATTAAACAAGTAGAACGAGTCAATATATGATCGGACGAGCACAAACTGAATAGCGATAGA